GGGGTTTTGGTAGCCTAAAGACAACGTTTAATGGAGAAACAGTGGTCTTTAGGCTAACAGAACCCGCTTAAAACTCAGACGATGGGGGTAAATGAACAACCGACGTATAATAAACATTTAGACGACGGTTTGATCCATCAACCTCGTTGTGGTTTTAAAAAAAACAGCTTAAATCTCCCATCCCCATTCCTTTTCCAAGAACCCATGGCAAAACAAACATAAAAGAACCCAAACAGAGAGTAATTATTACAAGAATGCAAACACTAAAACATAAAATAACCCAAATATAGCTACGAACGAAAGCACTTATGGATTTAAGAAGCCGTGCAATATCATTAAATAAAGAGATTAGGGTTTGCACTTACATGGATAAGATAACCAATGCTTCAGAGAGAGCTGAGAGAATATAACAAAAGCTTGAGAGAGAGTTGAGAGAATATACCCAATGCTTTGAGAGAGAGCGAAAGCTTTAAGACAAATTTATGTTGAAGAGAGAGAATGAACTATTTTAGGGTGAAAGGGAAATTCTGAAAATTTTAGATCGCGGTAAAAAATTTTAAAGTACCGCGTTTTTCAACGACGACGGTAAATACTTATATATTGACGTCTAATATGAACTTACGACGGCGGTTTATACACTAGACCGACGTTGTAAACAGAACATACGTCGCCAGTTAATAACCGACGTCGTTAATATAATAAAATTAGTCTTGGTTTACGTAGTTGACCAGAAACAGCGTTTTCTTAAAACCGGCGTCGTTTCAATAAACCCTAAACCCTAAATTTTACAATAATTATAAAAAAATACACAAGTATGAGAAAAATGAACCGAAAATTGCTACGCACTCCTTACAACAATGCCTTCTATAATAGTAGGCTAAAATATGGATTTCATCATTTTGAATTTATGGGCACCAATGGATCACATAAACTTTAGGGTTATGTTATGTAATGTTATGTTATGTAATGGATCACATAAAATTTGTTTGAATTTTGTTATCATTTGAACTTTGAAAACTGAAATTACATTTTTCAGGCCTTAACGGGTAAGATATTGTCTCAATGAGTGCATAGAATTTGTCGGTATATTTTTCGGATTTTGTTTTGAATATATTATTAATATTAGTAATTAAATACAATAAAAAAATATTTCTAAAATTATATTTTTTAAAGCTTTAGGGGAGAGACAATATTTCAATGAGCGCTTGGTAGTTGTCAGTTTAATTTTTGGAATTAGTTTTGAATTTAATATGGAATTAAATAAAATATAAAAGTCATTAAAAATTAAATGCCAAATGACCTAGCCGACGTTGTATCCTTTTACAATGACGTTCAAGATCACAAACTGACGTCATATATTTTTTAGACGTCGAAACAAACAGAAAACGACGTCAATTGTTTGGATAACCGACGTGGGTTATTGTATTACCACGTCATCTTATTTTGGATCACCGACGTTGTTTATATATACAACGTCAAATTTTTTATAATAACCGCCTTTGTATATTATTAAGACGTCGATATAGTTGTACTAACAAACGTAGTATATCGGTACAAAATTCATCTGTACAAGATGAATTAATTATAAACCGTCGTGTTTATGACTGTTACATGTCATTTTTAAGAATTGTTGTCGATGTTATATTTCCAGTTATAGCAAGACGACCATTGTGTACACATATGAGACGAGTAAATTAGAATCAGACGTCGGTTTTTGGGAACTAAACAAATTTTAAAAAAAACTAAAATAAACCTAAACATTTATGTACATTTTACATAAACTAAAATAAACCTAAACATTGTTCATAAATATTTATGTACATCAATTATC